CGAGGCGAGAGAGGGTGGGGGCGAGAGGAGGGCGGTTAGAGAGGGCGGGGCGGAGGCGGGGACGAGAGAGGGGCGGGGCGGGAGGAGGGGCGAAAGCGGAGGGAGGGGGTGGGGGCGTGGGAAGCGAGGTGGGAGAGATGGGGGCGTGGGGAAAACGGAGGGAGAGAGGGGTGTGGGGAGCGTGGGGAAAACGGAGGGGAGAGGGGGTGTGGGGGAGCGTGGGGAAAACGGAGGGGGGAGAGGGGGTGTGGGAGGCGTGGGGAAAACGGAGGGGAGAGGGGGTGTGGGGAGCGTGGGGGTGGGGAGGAGGGAGAGAGGGGGTGGGGAGGGAGGGGAGAGGGGGGGGGGAGGCGTGGGGAAACGGGTGGGAGGGGGGTGGGGGCGTGGGGAAAAGCGGAGGGGAGAGGGGGTGTGGAAAGCGCGTGGAAACAGGGGGGAGAGAGGGGTGTGGGGCGTCGGGGAAAACGGAGGGGAGAGAGGGGGTGGGGGGCGTGGGGAAAACGGAGGGGAGAGAGGGGGTGTGGGGGAGCGTGGGGGAAAACGGAGGGGGAGAGGGGGTGGGAGAGAGGGGGGTGTGGGAGCGTGGGAAACGGAGGGGGAGAGAGGGGGTGTGGGGAGCGTGGGAAAACGGAGGGGGTGGGGAGGCGTGGGGAAAACGGAGGGGTGGGGAAGCGTGGGGAAAACGGAGGGGGGTGGGGAGCGTGGGAAAACGGAGGGGGAGGGGGGTGGGGAGCGTGGGGAAAACGGAGGGGGAAAAGAGGGGGTGGGGAGAGAGGGGTGGGGGGGCGTGGGGAAAACGGAGGGGAGAGGGGGTGGTGGGGGGCGCGTGGGAAAAGCGGAGGAGAGAGACAGACAGACAGACACCGGGCAGCTCTACTACCTGACAAGTTGCTACGTCCGGCTTTCCTTTAAGGTTAATTGAGTAAAATGTAATATGTGATGGCGGCGAGGTTGTCAGGGTTAAATGGATATAAAGGTTTGTGGGATTCCCCCTGCGTTTGGCGCAGATGTCGCCTGCTCAGAGCGCTATTTGAGACCGGCTGTCACGTGACCCTGAAGGGACGCTATCTATTACGTGGGTGTTGTAAAGTCAGTGGATTTCAATCCAGTTACGACCATAAGAACACCTGGATGTGTGTAAATAAACAATGTGTGTACCGTCCCAGCATAAACCACAGAGCGGAAATGTGGCCAAAGCAACATGTCTGTGGTATTTATTCATTCTCATCCTGGGAACATTGGGTTTGACATGGGAATACAGTCTGGACAGGATGTCGGTACGTTTCAGGGGACCATACACACACTCGTTCACACCTAGGGGCTTGAGTTAGAGAAGCCCGTCCGCCTACCTGCATGGTTTTTTGAGCGCTGGAAGGAAACTGGAGAACTGGGAGAAAAGGAGATGGGAACATTCGAATAAATTTTTACCAGTACAAGAAGTACGGGATCGAACCCTGGAGCTGCGACCCTGGAACGCTGGTCTCTGCTCTGCTCCCATCACTGTGGTCTGTATACATTTTTAGGAGCTATGAGCACACAGTGTATAATTTAAAGAATTCATTTCATCGCTCTCACTTTGTGTACCTTCAGGGTTAATTTGACCGTTTCCTATTCTTCTTACGATCTGCCACAACATGCTTTGGGCGCACTATATCGTAAATTTCATGCATGAAATATAACGTGAGGAATGAAAGACATTTTCCTGCGTAAGGACCACCAGATCCCCTGCTTCAGTTCCAGTACTCCAGATCTCAAGTTTCTGATGATGTCATGCGGTTGAGCACTAGCCAGCATGTTCATAGATGACTTTCCTTCTTTCAAGCAGATTCACACATCGGGGATGTTCGTGTTTGTCGTTTCAACCATACAGTGAACAGAACCGTTGCTTTCCCTTGAGGTTAAATATAAATGATTAACAGCACATGCTTGTGTTCGTTTGTAGCCATCTTGCTTGGTCAAGTTTATTGAGCAGTAGTTTTGTTTCACTATGATCCACCCCAGAAGCACACTTTCTTTCTCTGCTTATTTTGCAGGTGGTGACAGGAGTTTAGAGAGGTGGTGGTTTTTTTGAAACTGTGAACATTGCGAGGTAATTTTGTACGGGTATATTTGTACTGTCTTTAGCATTTGCATGACCATGAAGTGGCATCACTTTGTACCACTATTGTGATACCAACTCCCTTGTTCACAGACTCCACCATCATTGCACTGTACAGTCGGAGACATCAACGCTAACATCAAATGTTTAACATTTATTGGCTAAAGGCTTCCTTGTCTTCATGTGGGTGTTTACAAGAAACATTTAGAAAAGACTAGAAAGACACTATATAACCTTTGGGCAAGGCTTTTACCCTGTAACTGCTAAGCTATATAACGGTCATTATATCTGGGCTTTGACATACACTACATTGCCAAATTTTGTGGACACCAGACAATCACTTGTATGTGGGCCTTCCCCAAACTGTTTCCACAAAGATGGAAGCACACAATCGTGTAGGTTGGCTTTGCTTGCTGTAGAATTAAGATTTCCCTCCACTGGTACTTTGGAGCCCAAACATGTTCCAGCATGTCTGTATACCTCCGTGTACAAAGTGAGCTCTATGATGACATCCAGGGTTGGAGTGGAAAAACTTGTGTGGCCCGGACAGAGCCCTGACCTCAAGCCCACTGAACACATTTGGGATGAACTGGAGCAGTGACTCCAGCCCAGACCTCTTCACCAGCATCAGTAGTCTTGTGGCTGAATGAATATACATCCCCACAGCCATGCTCTAAAATCTAGGAGGCTGTTATTGAAGCAAAGGAGGAACAAACTCCGTATAGATGCCCGTTGATTTTTCGAATGAGATGTTCAACACCTATACATAGGGATGTAATGGTCCGGTGTCCACATACTTTTGGCCGTAGTGTGTTTTGGCATCTTGCGTCTTCGAATGTGAGCTTCACCGCATTTAATCCCAAACTTGAGTCTACTGTTCAGCATTATCAGTCTGATGTTTATCAGTACATTGCCCTAATAGGAGATAAAGTATCACTAGCTCTGAATACGTTTTACATATGAAGTGCATTTAAATCTTAAATTTACTTGCATTTAGAGCTTTGTAAGTCCAGTTTTTCTGTTCATTTCCACTGAGGCAGTACACACTGATGGGGGGCCTCATACCGCCTAATTCTAAATACGTATGCTGAATTAATTACTGAAAAAAAATCTGCTCATTGTTAAAACTCTTGATTGCTCATGGATCTACGCAAGGCTGTTTTTCTTCGTTCTCCTGGGAAGGACCGTCATTGCGTCTTTCCTTCTTTTCCTGCCTTTTCTGCTCTCTGAGGAGTGAGACCATGTGTTACTTTGATGCTGATGCTAAGCAGAGTGCTTTTGTGTGTGTGTGTGTTAGAGAGCGAGAGCGCAAGGTAGGGTATTTCTACTGGTTACCAGAGCGACGGCTAGTCCATGCGGCTGCTGCTGCTCTCCTTACACAATAGCAGTGCTGCTTAGCATTCAGAATGTGTGGTCGAGGCAGCGCTTCCCACCGCCTCCCAACAAAGGCCCAGGTCAGCCAGCGTCTCGCAGAACAAGCTTTTTCTCTCTCTAGCCTCCAGTCCTGCTTACAGACCTTCTCCCATACTTTTCTCTCAGCCTTCCCCAATTCTTCTACCCAGCCCCACAGTTCTGCAGACCTTCTCCCTGCCCTCACACTACTCCTTCTTCACTATATTGGTATATTGCACTATACCAGGATGTTCGCTGGATGTTGCAAAATGCATGTAGCATGAGGTTGGAATAGAGTCATGCCATGCACTGTTTTCGGTTTAGTCTAATAAGTTTTTGCTCATATACAGCTCTGGGCCTGGGGTCGATATTTCCTCCACATAACCGATGTCGCAGTCTTTTAAGATACAACAAGTGCTTAACAGAATCATGCTGCAAGACCCACACTCATGCAGCCGGTTTCTGAATCTCCTGGAAACCGACAACTGGCACCAGCTATGTGCTCAGATAGCCCCTGCACCGACTGCAGCGATGACGATACTGACACCGTACATTTGGCTTACAGGTTTAGACCCTGGTGTGAAGATGGACCTCCTAAGCAGCAACAGCTTGCAAGATGCAGATGCGTACAAGATGAGTGATACAGCATTCTGAAGATGCAAGACCATTCTAAAGAAAGGGATCCGCGTGGCAATGATGCCCCATTGGAAAGAGTGCTTGTCATTCGGAACGAGCACTTACCTGGTGAGAACTGTACTTGGGAAAGATAGTGACGTGATGGTGGGATTTATTGCATTGTTAGAAAGCAGGCATGAGCTTTAGAGCTTTAGAACTATCAGCTTTAGAGCTGATACTCTAAAGCAGTGGACACCAACCCTCACGTTTGTTTCCACTCAAACTTGCACTTCTTCTACGGCATCCCGAGCCTTTAGTCATGCGGCTCCTTATTTATGGAACTTGTTTCCACAGGATGTGTGAAACAGTGGAAGGTTTCTTGTTTTGAGATCTCGTCTTAAGCCCCATCTTTTTAGGCAGGCTTTTATGTGGTCGCTTTTATGCTTGTGTCCAGTCTGTCCAGGCTGTAATATGATAATTGTTGTTAATGTTGATTTGTTTTATTGTATTTCTAAGGTATCCTCGAGGGTCAAGTAAGGCGCCTACAAATAAAATGTCTAATAACAATAACCCTGTTCCTGGAGATTCTGAAAACTTTAACTCCAAGCATAATCGTGCCTACCTGAGCATCTAATCGTTGCCTTAAGTTCTTGATTGACTAAAACGGATGTTGGATCTAGGTAGATCTCAAGGATTTAAGAAATATCCATATACAGGCTTCACAAGACATTATTGACACAAATAAAATATTACATTTTAATACATTTAGTTTGTATTGACGACAAACTGACCCACTGCGATATCAGTGTAGAAAAGTAGATCAAGATTTATAATATAAAGCCCAATTATTAATGTTGTTTGAATCTTTTTCAGCGTCACAAATGTATTTTATGGAGGGGCGCTCAGTGGTTAGCGTGTTTGGCTAGCGCCTCCAGGGTCGGGGGTTCGATTCCCGCCGTGGCCCTGTGTGGGTGTGGATTTTGATTATTCTCCTTGTCTTTCGGGGGTTTCCTCCGAGTACTCAGGTTTCCTCCCCCAGTCCAAAGACATGCATGGTATGCTGATTTGGCGTGTCCGTAGTGTATGGATGGGTGTGTGAATGTGCCCTACGATGTATTGGCACCCCGTGCAGGGTGTACCCTGCCGTGTGCACCATGCTCCCTGGGGTAGGCTCCAGGATCCCCGAGACACAGTAAGCATAATCAGTACAGAAAGTGGTTGGATGGATGGATGGATGGATGGAAGGAAGGAAATGGATTTTATGGCAACATTATTAATAGAGGAAGATGGTTTGGCTGTAGACTGCCTTTTTTTTTTTTTTTAAATAACCGATTTGTACAAACACCATTTCTTCTGCTGTCTGACATCCACCTGAATTGCATGAGCAGATCACATATAACTACCTTCGGATGGCTATCCTACATCCCTGCCTTGAATCCTGGATAGTGTGAAAACGTCGAGTCATGTATTTTGGGTCGTTTCTGTATTATTTTCTCTAAACCGTTGTAACGGTTATTATTAATACCCATGTTGCAGGTGCATACAATTGTGCAAACAAGCCCTCAGGCATAATCCTTCATTTGCTTGAAGCATCCCGACCAATCTTTCAGCAGATCTTTCAAATGAACGTTAATGTGCTTGTTCTGATTGATCGCAGCATTTGCTTGAAATCGTGCGTACATTTCGGTCAGGTAAAGCGATTGTTTACTTAAGTCAAATGTGTACCTTTTTTTTTTATCATTTGTATAACATTTTTACCAAATGTAGTTGACCAGCCAAGACAAGTTGAATATTTTGACTTTTGCTTCTTTAGTTTTGCACTGAAGCTATAAAATTATTACATAGAAGCCTATTTTGCTCAAAATCTGTTCCCTAAATAATGCTGAAATTGCTACTGTATATAGTGTATGAAACGGTCTATATTTATGTTGGCAGTGGGGCTCGTCACAGGTCTGAATGGTTCTGGTTGTGTTGGGCAAACATGCCAGATTGGTATTAGGTGTAAGAGGAGGACCAGTGGAACATTATGGAACCAGTGGCACTGTATGTATTAACCGTGCCAGTGGGGCTTCCTCCAGCCTTCGATATTGTGGAGGCCTGTATGGCTTTGGTTGCGTTAGGCATGTTGGCGAGTCTCGGATGAGTCGGGTAATCCCATGGGCACCAGAGGAAGTCAACCTGGATTACTTCTGCCTTTGTTTATTTATTCATTTTCATATGATTCATTTACATTTTCATGTGATTCATTTACCTTTTCTCCCCTCCCTTCCCTTTCCCAAATATTTCATTGAGAAGAGAAATAAAATAAAATAAAATAATAATAGTAAGTAAATATTAATTCCAGTAAGAAAAAGGTCCCCTACTGACTTCAAATCTAATAAATAATCTGCGCACTTTAACAAATATAATGTCCATACCTTTTAAAGACTTATACCTAATAATATTACGCAGTGTAGCATATTAAAATAAAACACAAGAAGAAGAAAATAACGAAGTAATAATGCACCGAGAATATAAGAATTGGAATTATATAGCGCTGGAAGGCCGAGTGCAAATAAAGAACAAAAGAAAAATAAAGAAAGAAAGAACAAAAAAAAATATTAATAAATAAAATAAATAAATGGATCAACAAACAAACACTACACTGTGTAGATGATGCAGTTCACCCCGGTTTTAAGAGTTTAACGTAGTCTGCTGCTTCCTCCGCTGAAATAAAGTCCTTCTAGACTCCGTTATATGTAATGCGAAGCCGAGCTGGGTGAAGTATTCCATAGCGAGCTCCCTCAATATCACGAAGTTGACGCCGAACCTCGTTAAACCCGGCCCGAGCCCGGGCTGTCTGGACTGTGTAGTCAGGGGAAATGGAGATGGTCAGATCCATCACTTTAATCTGCTGGCGCTCTCTCGCGTGGCATAAAATATCAACACAGTCACTGTAATAGTGGAATCTGCACAAAATAGCTCGTGGTCGTTCACCAGACTTCGGCTGAAGGATCCGGTAGTACTGGTCCAAAACCGGCTCCTTCTCCAGACCGAACGCCTCCTTTAACAAGGCCGTTACAGCAGCGGTTGTACAGGTGTCAGGGCCCTCTGGAACTCCGACTATCCTAACGTTATTGCGCCGTGACCTCGACTCCAGATCCTCACATTTATTCTCTAATTGAGTCACGGTCGCAGTGAGAGACTCGATAGTAGTCTTCATGTGAACTATATCAACGGTGCAACTTGGATTACTTCTGATTTTCTGGTACATTTTCTCCTTCAAACGTTGGAGGTGGGGGCCAAAGGTAGTAGAATAATACCCTGCAGGTGTGGAGAAACTGACAACACAAAGAGAAAACTTTGACATAAAGCCATTCTTTAACTCCCCAGTTTGCACTATGTGGTCGATGGGAAATTAAGATGCTAGCCGGGCCTCGGGTTACACCTGTAGGTGCAAAGTGAGGATAGAATAATCTCATAGCTGAAACAACAACTGTTTAAAAAAAATAATAATAATTATTATTGAGAGGGCAAGAACGATGTGCGACATTTTGAACACTTCTTAGACGAGGAAGTTCCTATAGTCGTTTTAGTCTTTATTCATTTTAATACTTGAATTAATTATGATATGCTTATGTATTAATTATAGCAAACTAGCTTGCTATAATATAAGGCTAGCTATCACGCTCTAACCTGGTCATGGCCACAGTGGGTCCTTGAGCTTGGAGGTGGGGAACACACCCCAGCGGGACACCAGCCCATCATAGAAAGACCTGCTAGGCATTAGCGAGCGTACACTCGATCGCTGCAGAACAGATCACGTCACTATTTGTAATGAAATACGTCCTCCAGTCCAGATACAGACAACCCTTTGACTCTTCGGCTCCACGGTTTCCTGTGCTTCATGGCAGATGTGACGCAGGTCTACTGTACCTTCGGGGTCATGTAGGGATAGTGTGTGGTTTTTCCCACAGGGCAATGCTCCAGAATCCCTTCTGTTTACACTTGGCCCATCAGGCACTGGCTGCAGAAATGAGCTGCGGCTTATTTAAACAGGGCTTGACCTCGCTCGAGCTACAGATTGCCTCGCTAAAAATTGTGATTGTGCCATGTATTTAAAAAAAAACCTCCTATATTTTGCACACAGCACGTGCTTGTGACCTCCAGGGTGCTTTGTTTCTGAAAACGCTGTGTCATGATGAAGCTGCTTGCTCTGCCTGGTGTAGGATTCCTTTTCACATTAGGCAGTGTATTGCACATGTGATTACAAATAGGAGTTTAAGATGGTTAACCAAACATACTGCATTTCATGTGATTTATAGCGCAGATCTGGAGCGGAGGTGATTAATGAGGTTTTCGGTTTTTAAAAAGCTGTCTGGTTCCGTTCGGGAGAGTAACTCTTTCTGAAAGGCAGCTGTTCTTGGCATTAACTTGCATCAAATGATCCAGTTTCGGTTTTAGTCTTGAAGCTGTTTGTAGATCAGACAAGTTACAGTCTCTGCCAGTGTTTCTCTCGTTCATAAAACACGTTTTTGGCAAGTTTGCTGCTCTTAATGATATTGATGAAAAGTCCAAGAAAACGGTCAAAAGTAAAGGAAGAATGTCCAGTTCGTTTGAAGGACTTTTCCCAGACATTAAAACGGCTTGCTTTAAATTTCTTGAGTGTAGTGGTGTTTTAAAGGTGTTGAGTGTTTTTGTCTAGTTGTGTAGGGTGGGTGACTGGTGTGTGTTTGACTACGGCTGTGTGATATAAAGTTAAATGACTGTTTGCTTCCGCAAGCTACATTTTAGTTCTGCACCATCTACTGCATCTGTGTTCACTTGACTGAGGAACACTCCAGTAGAGCAGTGTCTCTCTTTTTCTTTCTCTCTCTCTCTCTCTCTCTCTGTGTTCCTTCTCTCTCTCTTGGTCCCCCCTTCTCTCTCTCTCGCTCCCCCCTTCTCTCTCTCTCGCTCCCCCCTTCTCTCTCTCGCTCCCCCCTTCTCTCTCTCTCGCTCCCCTCTCTCTCCCCACTCTCTCTCCCTCCCGCTCCCCCTTCTCTCTCCCTCTCGCTCCCTTTCTCTCCCCCTCGCTCCCTTCTCTCCATCACTCCCTCTCTCTCTCTGTCTTGCCCCTTTTTCTCCCCCCTCTCTCTCTCGCTCCTCTCACCCCCCCCTCTCTCATTTCCTCTCTCTCATTTCTCTCTCTCTCTCTCGCTCCCCCTCTCTCTCTCTCTCCCTCTCTCTCTCTCTCTCTCTCTCTTTCTCGCTGCCCCTATGTCTCTGAATGTTTCTCTCTCATAATTTTCGTCTGCCTGTATCATAAGAACATACATTCCCATTCTGTAATCAAGAGGGGGGAAAATGATGTGGACGATAAAAATCAAAACAGTTCTGTTCGTCCAGGATTTTGTGATTGCAGAAATTAACGCAAAATCAAGCAAACTCCACTATATTTGGAGGAGCTTTTAGTTTTTCAGAATTAACATTGATGTGATTTTCCCCAGATTTTGACCAAGACACGTGATGCAACGTTCAGCCAAAGACCTCATCGATTCATGCGCATCAAACGTGAGGTACAGCTAAAAGGTTTCACTTACCAACAATCACTGTGAAAAACTAATTTTTTTGCCAATTTACGTAGTTTTCTGCCAAAAAACCCCCGCAAAATATCGAAGCAAAATTTTTTTGGGGGGGGGAATGGCACCACTGCCCGGCGATGGACTGGCACTCTGTCCAGGGTGTACCCTGCCTTGTGCCTGATGCTCCCTGGAATAGGTTCCAGGTTCCTGTACGGACTGACAGTTGTGACGAGAAGAAGCACATGCTTCTAGGCTAGGATGTTTTTAAGAAAATGGTTGAATTTTGCTTCAATTTTTATTTTCGAAAAAGCTAGCTGTAGCCGGCGACACTACGTTCACGGTAGCAGCAACGAAGTTACAGATGACTCTTCATTTCTATGTGAAGCGAGATTTCACAGATTTGTCAGCACAACAATCAAGGCT